CAATGGATCAAAAATCACATCAATTGGACTTCTGTATTGAAAGATTTACTCCAAATACCGCATCATGTTCAGTCTTTACATACTGCTGCAGTGGTCCGACTTGACAAATATTTTGACCATGATCCAATCAGAACTGGCAACTTGGTGAACATAAACATTGTATCCCTTCTTCTTATAATTCTATGGTCTAAGAATCACCTCATTTGGAGTTTTTTTGAAAGAGATATGGTCAAAATACTGAAACATATACGAATGAGCTATCACCATACTTGCACTGATTTTCATCAAATGAGTCTTTTTCATCAATTTCCTACAAAAGTCATAAGAGAAATTAGCAATAACTACTCTTAAAGTAATTTAAAATAAAATAACTTAAAATTTAACTAAAATAACTTAAATTAATTACTTAACAAGTAATCAAACTTAAACTAAAAAAAACACCTATAATGCTAAAATTCGAACCTAAAATCTCAAAGATCTAGCTACTTAAGCTCCCAAAATGACTCAAAACAACTCTATATAATAGAGTTATCAAATAGGCTGTAGATATATTCATTAGACGCATTTTAATCTTATCATATATTGTCAGACTAGTTAATATAGAATTGTAATTACATCCACCATAGAGAATATCTCTTCATCTTCAATACGAGATCTTTAGAGAAAACCTTGTGCGATAAGCCGTGCTTTATATCTCATAATCTCATTTTTCTCATTTCATATTCGCACAAATATCCATTTATATCTTATTAGTTTTACATCATTTGATGTACGGACTACAGGTCCAAAAACTTCACATTTTGCAATTAAATTCAGCTCCACCTTAATTGCTACTTTCCATATTGGCCAATCATTTCTTTGTCTACATTCTTCAATAAATAAAGTTCAAGATCCTCATTTTTCTTTTATAATATTGAGCTCTATATTATATACAAAATATCATTGATATTTATTTATCGGTTCCATCTTTTTTCATCATGACATAATTGATTGAGATCTCTTCATTTTTAATGATTTAAGGTACCTGAATTTCTTCTGAAATTTTTCTCAATTATGTTAAGGGTCTCTTCTAGAGTTTTTACTTTTTTTTTACCATCGTAAATATTTTGCTCTGTTTCTTTTTCTAGAATTTCATATTTGGAACCATTTGGTCTCCACGGTTCTAGCGTGCCTTGTCCTACAGGGACATTAATGCTAATAGGAGCATTTACAGCTAGTAAATAAGATTTAATTATTCTTTTAGGTCAGTAAATACATTTAACAACTGATTTACTATATTTTGCAAAAGAATTATCTTTTGAACTTCAAGTTCATATTGATTTGTCCGAGGATCAAAACTAGATAATGATATTCATTCTAAGAAATTTTATTTTATAGGTACTTAATTTTCTTCCCCTAATGTTGGAAAACTTATTTCATCAATATGACAATTGACAAACTTTGTCAGGAATAAATCGCCTATTAATAATTCTAGATATTTAATTACAAATGGAGATTCGTATCTAACATATATTCCTAACCTCCTTTGAGGACCATCTTTGTGTGTTGTGGTGGAGCAATTGAAACATATACCACACATTTAAAAATTCTTAGATAAGAAATATTTGGTTCCTGACCATAAACTAATTGTATAGGGGAGAATTTATAATAACTCGTTTGGCTTGATGCATACAAATGCTGCTGCATTCAAAATGGCATGCCCCCAAGTAGACATTGGAAGTTTAAATTTCATAAGTAATGGCCTTACAATCAGTTGGAAGTGTTTAATAAATAATTCTATTAGACTATTTTGTATATAAACATAAGTAACAGGTTGTTCAATAGTTATTCCAACTAACATTCAATATTAAAGGCTTGAGATGTAAATCTACTAGCATTATCAAGACAAATAATCTTGATTATTTAACCAGAAAAATGTGCTTACAAACGAATTATTGCAAATGTCAAATTACAAGCTGATAACAAGCACACATGTGACCATCTAGTCGATGCATTGATTAAAACTATAAAATATCTAAATGGTTCATATTGTGGATGTATGAATCCACATATAACATTGAATATTATTCAAATACGTAGGGAATTCAATCCTAATTTTAGCTGATGATAGCCTTATAATTTATTTGCTTTCAGAGTAAGTAGCACATAAAATTCATTAGATTGAAAAATCTTCTTGTTTTTCAATGAATGATTATATAAATTTTCAATCATTTTTTTGCATCATTATTGATCCCAAATGGTCCAACCAGTCATGCCAAACATTAAAATCATTAGTAAACTTCTGGTTTACTATAAGTTTCAATTATTCTAATATTTATATAGTTTAATTCTGAAAATAGAACAAGTAATTTTTTTTTCAACACACACTTTCTACTTGAGATAATAGATGTAATATAGAGGTATTAAGTGTCTCCATTCATTGTCTCAATATGATATCTATTTAGATAAATATCTTTAAAACTTAATAAACTTCTTTGAGACTTAATAGAAAATAATACATCCTCTATTACTTTATTCCTCAAGGTAGTAAAATATTAGCTCTTCTAGAAGCTCCAATTAATCTTGTACTACCAGATATTGAATTGACATTGATTTTTTTTTATGTCTTTGAATATAGTGTGTGTTGTAGCAATGTCTGCTAGACATATATTTACATTATTGATCTTAGATCCAACTAGATCAATATCTATATTTTCTTCAATAAAATAAAACATATACAATAAGAAACTTGCAAGTTAATATAAAAGAATATTAAATATAAAATTAAAACACATAATAAGAACATATCATTTAAGTATAATGAAAACATATTAAAACATCTTCATAATATAATTATACTAAATATATCAATTACTATTAAGTTTATTCTCGGATATTATTACCAATCAAATGATCAATTTCTTTTTCAAGACAAGAAAATCACTAATAGATATATTTATTACCAATCATATAATTATTCCTCTTTCAGGGTGGACAAATATCTTGATGTGTTATATCAACTTGACCATGATTAAAATTATCACAAGATGTTTCAATTCAGTAATACTTAATAAAATTTAAGACGTACAACAGGTATGTGACCAACGATCTTTCATGACACATCAATAACAATATGTTTTTTATATTCATTTTATTCTTTTCATTATTTATCCACTTGTAATGATTTATAAGTATTCATCCACCTTTTGATGGATTATCCACTTCTGGTGGGCTAGTGAGTTAAGATATCTATCTACTTTTGGTGCGTTAAAAGTATTTATCTATTTGTGGTAGGTTACAAGTATACATCCACTTTTGGTGGGTAATTCACATATAATGGGTTGTCCACTTCTGGTGGATTATAGGCATCCATCAATTTTTTATGATAAAATTATCAATCCACTTCTAGTGGTAATATTATTCATAAATTCAGATGATAAAATATCCATCCACTTCTGATGGTAAAATAATAATTAAAAATAATGCTAATATAAATTGTTATGGCCATCATAATTAAATAATATTGCATTCACTTTAAGGAATGGATGGATTCATGATTATGACCATAATGATGTCACATTCATTTTTGGGAATGTTCGAATTTATAATAATTTTTTTATTAGTATCTCGTTTGTCATATTCACTTCAAGGATGGACATTCATGGTTTTTTATTAATAGCTATATACTAGCAAATTCACTTTCCAATCAAGAGACAAAATATAATATATACAACATAATAGTAAAATTCATATTAAAGTTGATTTTAAGAGAATGAAAATACTAAAGAAATATTAAGTCACTTACTTGATTTTTTTTAAAACCAGAAATCAAAACCCAATCACTGAAACCCTTTGGAAGCTTGCAGATGATGAAAACATAATAATTCCAAAACTTGAGAGATCAAAGAGGATCGTGTTGATAACGTGTTATAAAAAAATAAATTTATAAGAATAAATAAAGATAGTTTAAAAGAATACTTAAAGAGAAGAAAGAAAGTATTTAGGGGGAAAGAAGAAATTTTATTGAAGTGTGTATACAAATGAATTAAGAGAGCCTATTTATAGGCAAATAACTATTTTACAAGATGAAGATAACACTTAGAGATTATATAGATTATATTCTAATCTAATCTGATTTACATTAAATCTAGATATAGATAACATGAATGGATATTTACAAAATATTCATAACATTAATTTTGTATTAAGGGCTATTTTTGAAGTAGCTTTATTAGGTTAACTATTTCTTACAATTTCCTCTTTAATTTTTGTTATAGTGTTGGATGTTATAAGTATGGCTAAACATCCAAAATTACTACTATGAAGTCAGTTTTTGTAACTAGAACAATACCATCACGCTTATGTAATGTTTTCCAAAAAATGCAACTTATTTTGAGTGCTTTATACAAATCAAAGTTTATTTTAATTGTTTGGATAATATGATATTCATTTTTGGATTCAAAATAACTTTTTATACATTTTGTACTTATCTATCTTTCTATATTATTCAACAAGATGAAATTAAAAATGCGTGCATGATATCGGGTTTTATATATATATATATATTTTCTTATCATATCTAGTTTTATTTTTTTTCTTATCATATATTTTGTACATTTTTAGTTAGATTGTTGCTATAATATAGAATACTATTCATAATTCTTAACATCAAATGTTGATAAAATTTGACAAAATCAATCCAACACTTAAAAAAATCATGATATTTCCACAACAAAATCTTCACCCGTTGTAAAATTGATTGCTTAATGTGGGCATCCTGGTAGGATATATGATTAAATTCCATTTGGAATCGGTTAATGATTTTTTTCTTGGTCAAAATCCAATATAAAAAATCGTATGTGGTTCCCCGTAACCCATTGCCAGTCGTATGTGGGCTTCGGTAACCCATTGCCAGTCGTATGTGGGCTTCGGTAACCCATTGCCAATCGTATGTAACCTTCCCCTTACCCATTACCACATGCCCAACCCGAACCGACCCACCTCCTTATCCCCTTCTCTCTCCTCCTTTTGCCCTTAACTCCCAAGTCAGATTGCATGCTCCTTGAATCTTGCTTCTCCTAAAATTCCCAATTTTTACTTGTTTCCTTTTTCCCTCCCTCTTCTACAGGCTTCCATAGCCGCTCCCTCTCCTCTTCATTTCTTCTTAGTCTGCCATCATTCTCAGACGAGTCGTCTTCAATTCTTCCTTTTCCCTGTCTTTCAGACGTGTCGCAGACTTTGGGAATTGAGACGAGTACTTTTAATTCCCTTGTCTTCTGTTTCAGTTTCAGTTATTTTCTTCTACGAACCTTTGGATCCCCTCGATTTGGCGAATTAGATCGCCGAGGATCTGCGTCTCGGATCATGAGATTCAATTCGGAAATCGACGGGATAAAGCGAATTCTGCAGCTCTGGTTGATCCATTGATAAAATTGAAATTTATATCTCAGGTGTATTGCTTCTCTTTTAGCCAGGGACTAGCCGTATTATATTTTGCTTCTATGAGCCTTTTCCATCATATAGTCTGCTGCATGAGTAGGTAATGAAGGGTTTTCATGAGAGGAATGTTGCTCTAAAATGCCCTTCTAAGAGTAGTATTGATAGCTCTCATAGCTCCCCATCCTCTGGATCAGAGCCAGGTCCCAGTGACTGTAAGTTCTCCAAGAGTTCTGTGTGGTCAAATTTGTTTGCATCTGCTTTCTCAATCTTTGACACATACAGTGAGTCGTCGGCTTGTGAAAAGAAGGCATTGCATGCTAGAAACAATGGGTGGACAGCAGCTGTGAAGAGAGTTGTCTCCGGTGGCTCAATGAGGAGAATTCACGAGCGTGTTTTAGGGCCAAGCAAGATTGGAATTTCTAGCTCAACTAGCGACATATGGCTTCTAGGCGTGTGCTATAAAATTTCACAGGTGTCGTCCTCTGGCGATGTGGATGCCAGCGATGGATTAGCGGCGTTCAAACGAGATTTTTCGTCACGAATACTGATGACATATCGTAAAGGTCTTTATCATGAAGTTTGCTCTTTACAGGATGCACTTGATAACAAGATTTCTAAGTTATATAGTTACAGGTTTTGATGCTATTGGAGACACAAAAATTAGGAGTGACTTGGGCTGGGGTTGCATGCTTCGAAGTAGCCAGATGCTTGTTGCTCAGGTATATATTCATTTCATTTTATTTTCCTTTTCTCTTGAGCATGTTCAAACAAGCCCTAGGAGAGTTTGTTATGAGTTTTCATCATGAAAGTTGACATTGCTTGTTATCTTGCATTTATCTTAGCTATGGTTCATGTATCGTTTTCCTTCCTTGCAGGCGTTGCTTTTTCATCAATTGGGGAGATCTTGGCGAAAACCTTTTCAAAAGGTGGTGTAAATCACTTTGGATGTCTGTTCTTGCTTATTTCCTCTAACTCATATGAGGATTAAACTCTGGTAGAAGTTAAAGTAAATTATGTTCTTCTCTGATGCCTTTCTGCCTATGCAGCCATTTGAGCAAGCATACATTGAGATCTTGCATCAGTTTGGTGATTCTGAGGCCACAGCTTTCTCCATTCACAATCTTGTTGAAGCTGGAAAACTTTATGGGCTTGCTGCTGGGTCATGGGTAGGGCCGTATGCCATGTGTCGCTCATGGGAGTCTCTTGCTCGCTCTAAGAGGGAGGAAAATGGCCTTGAAGACCAGTCACTTCCCATGGCTGTTTATGTTGTTTCTGGTGACGAAGATGGTGAGAGAGGAGGAGCTCCAGTTGTTTGCGTTGAAGATGCTTCTAGACATTGTTTTGAATTTTCACGATGCCGAGCTGACTGGACACCTATTCTTTTACTTGTGCCCTTGGTTCTTGGACTTGACAAAGTAAATTCCAGGTTTGTGATGTTTTGACTTTCTTCTTTTGTAGTTTCATGATTGGTAGAGTCATCAGGCCTAATCCGTAAGGTAATCAATATCTTTGTATATATTAGCTTTGTGGTCACTGAAGTTTCCTTAAGTCTTGTGCCTTACATATCCCGCAATCTCCAGGCTCCAACAATCATGATTGCTAAAGTTGGCAACTTCCTTGTTAAGTGTTATTGCATACTGCATGGATTCACTTAGGAATGAGAATATAGACTTTTCCTACACATAATTGATGAAAATTAATCAAATTGGCACTTTTATAAAAATTTTAGGTAACAACATGGGATCAATTCTAGGTCAATTTGTAATAGCATGGTTGTTATTTCTAACTTTTGGTGCTTAAACTATGATTTGGTGCCATTGAAAGATGATCGGTGCATCTATTTTAGTGATATTTCATCAGAGAATGAATGAGAAGGAGCCATGTAGAGAATAGGTTCAGCTGAAGCAAAGAACGTTAAGACTATAGGAATCTTTAAAGCTTTGTGGATGTGAAAGAACACGTCTTTTCTAGTTAATGAAGATTCTTCAGGTTTTTTTAACACCTCCTGCAGTGTAATGGAAGGTCTGAGTGGGGTTTCAACTATTGATGCTAAGACATGTTTGCTGGAATTGATTTGTAGCAAAGCAATAGGTTTGGTTTGTTTCAACCAAGCATGCCAATACCAACTTCTTTAATCATTCTTGTTTTGTTAGTGGAATTATTGGTAAGGTTTCTTGATATTGGTGTGCTTAGAGATTAAGAATTGTGTAGTCCAAGGACTATCTTTTGTTAACAATTGTTTTGCTTGATTTCTTAGAATGACTTGCTTAGATTTCGCACCCTTTGATATCAAATTGTAGAACTAGAAATTTAAGTTGCTATTGACAGTGTTCGGTAGCTTGTTTCAAGGAATCTCAAGTTTTTTTTTTTGACTTTGAAGTTTTAGGCTTGAGAATTTTGCAACCTGGGAGGACTTTAGTGGTGATCAGTAAAGGTAACCATAGGATGGCCTTGTGAAGTTGTTTGAGCTCAAAAGGTGGCTTCGTTAGGATTTATCTGGCTTTCTTGATGATTTGCTTGTAGAGAGCACTTAACAAGATGGATAATTTTTGTTTTTCATCCAAAATCAAGTTCTAGATATGGGGATTAGAAGGGTTAAGAGTTTAGGATGAAATGAGCATGTTGTAGAGTATAGATAAGGAATAATGAGCACAAAATAGATTCATTCAAATTTATTGGCTATAGTTTATTTTTTCTTCACTTTGGGATTGGCTGGGACATCTTGTTCTTCTACGTTAAGTTGGTTGAACTATTTTCTATTTTAACATTCAAACACCTTCATTTTTCTTAATATTCTTGTTATTTCATTCACGGAGTATGTTTACTTATATTGTTTTAATAATTTATGATCTGGTATGGAAGATCATAATTTTTCAGTTCCATGGTCAATTAAGAGTAAATATTTGGTTCTATGAAGAAATCTAATACGTCTCAGAAATAGGGAGAGAAAGCTCTCATCTATTACTTTTAATTGTGAAAAAGTTGTGCTCTCATTTGTCACTTGATATACAAGATGTTATAAATAAGGATTTAGATGGCGCTCACAAGTTTGTGGTTGTGGCACGCTTTGCTGTTGCTATCCAACTTAATTGGAGGTGTGAATGGTGATTAACATGCATAGCGGTGTAACAAAAAAAGGGTTCTAATAGGATTCTAAAGCCGTTATCAATTTTTGTTATGCCTTTATTTATTAGTTTTTTTTTAAATCAAATCAAACAGCAAACCCTACCAAATTAGAGAGAACTTATCCCAAGTCCAAGCAAGTCAGTCAGAATTCAACAAATTTGAATCTCAATTAAAGTAAAAGAGGGAATTAGTTCAAGGCAAGAAACAAATATTCACTTAAAATTCAATTTTTTTCTTCACATTTTTTAAAAATTTGAGTTGTCGATGGTTTGGAGAAAGAGCTCTCTTAGAGCTTCCATATGCGTGGGCTCTACCTTGTATGTTGTCTCCTCTAGTATTAACTCCTTTTTTAGTGAGATAGACTTGAGAGTTGAAAATCCCTAGATGGAGAAGGTGTGAGGATATTGGTGAAACATAAATAAGTATTATTGTGGTTACGATTATTATTTACTTTAAATAATATATCATAAATAAGTATCATAAATAAGTATTATTCTGGTTACAATTATTATTTACTTCATTTTTGGTAAGTTGTGGAATATTGAAAAAAAATTCCACAACCATGATAAGTGTAACTACTGCTATTTTATCCTTTATGTCAGTAGCCACAATAAACATGGCAGCAGACTGCAATTTAAACCCTGGTTATAACTTGCAGAAGCTCACTTTCATTCCATAAACCCCATCCTCTTCTCCCCAAGATTCAAACTTGAGATCTATAGGAAGAAGTCTCAAGTTCAATTGTTGGGAGGTCCCCTTTGGGATCTGCATATTGTTTTGTTCATACATGTAATGTCTTGCTACATGTAGAAGATGCATTAAGCTCTCAGAGTGCTTGTTAAGATAATGAAATCTTTTATTATCTTCATTCAATGTAATTGTTCCTATAAGACACAAATTTTATAGGATGTTACTTTGTATACCTATTTTATCATTTTTTTTTATCTAAGCAAGTTGTCTTGACCAGTTAAAACACAAATATTATATTCACTTCGTTCTAAATTTCCTAGCCTCATTTCTATTTTGAAGTGTTAAAAATATCTTCAACAGTCAAAACTTAGATATTTATTACCTAACTTCCAGCTTTACCCATATAGCTAACAAGAGTTTCTAAAAGAGAGAAGACACTATTATGGTGAAATTTACTCATGAAATGTAATGTATTACTGTTTTTCTTAATCTTTGAGCTTTTTTAAAGAAGATAACGCTTTTGAGACAGAGGGAGAATTGCATTTGGACTTTGCTTATCTAGACTAAGTAAAGCATGTATTATGCTTTAATGTAACATGCTTATGAGAATCAGTTAGAACTCCAGTTTATCCTCATAGAAACAAGTAGCATTGTAGTAATTGATTATGAATTGAACTTGATTTTTGCTATATATTCTAACCACTTGGAATTTTCTTAAATTTGTTATCAGGTACATTCCATCACTGCAAGCAACATTCACCTTTCCTCAATGCCTTGGCATTTTGGGTGGGAAACCTGGTGCCTCAACTTACATTGTTGGTGTCCAAGAAGAAAATGTTTTTTACCTCGATCCACATGACGTTCAACCGGTAAATTCATTGATTACTTAATATTATTACTCATATGTTCCATTCTCTTATTCTTTCAGATGCATTATAAGTACATAGACTTGTTAGGGAAGCTTCTTTCACTTGTTTGGTTTTGTGCTGATGAATGTCTTGCCTCTTCACCTAGATTTTGGACATTTACGTGGAAAGTTATGGGAGTAAATAAGTCTTTATCTAACCCAAACATATTTTTAAGTCAGGGAATGGTTATTTGTCTGCAGTCATGATTATGAAGTGGGTGTGAAACTTAGTTTCTTAAAGCTTCAACAAGCCCTTATTGTATTGATGTAGTGTGGAAGTAGAGACAACAATCCTCCATTTGTTTGTGAAAGTTGACTTCTGAGAAGATAATTTTCCTAAAAAACTAGTATTTTTTTATGTTTGGTGCCACATGAAAAATATTTTATGGTGTTTGGAATGTACAATGAAAAATCTAAAAAAAAAATTATTAAGTTTATAAAATTTTCAAAAGTATAACTTCTTAAGAATAATATAAAAATATTTCATCTTTGACATAAAATCACACTACAAAATTTTATTATTATTTAAATTTTAGTGACCATAAATGGGTGAAGGGTTGGGTTGAGAAAGAAAGGGATGGATAAGGGAAAAGGGAAGGGAGAAATGTAGGGAGAAAGACGGAAGGAGGAGAGGATGATGCTCTTACTGGTGAAGGGGAAGGGAGGTGGTGACTGTGCTTTTTGATAGATGTGGAGGATGAAATGAGTGCAAGGGGGATTGGTGAGGGATAAAGGGCTATAGAAAATGGTGAGGGAAATGGAGGGGAAGGGTGAAGGAAGAGTGGTGGGAGCTCTTACCCGCAAGTTTGGTAGGAGAGATGTGGAGGCTGGACAAGGTTTGAGGGGGTTTCGTTTGAGAGAGAAAGGGCTGGACATTGTCTTCCATTATCTCAAAATGGAAGAAAATTTCCCCAAAAATGCTGGTTGTTTTTATTGACGAAGTTGTTATCTTTTATTGACCAAGGCAACCCAACATTAGAAAATACAAAAATTGATTTCTTAAAGTCTATTTTCATGAAACAGATGAAGCCTAAAAAGAAAACTAGAGCTTAGGCTAAAATTGATATAAAATGGAAGTTGAAACAATAAAATGGTTTAGGGTTGTAAAACCTTTAACAATAATATGTTTACAACTGCTTTTAATCCTAACCCTTGGATACACATAAACCCCATCTAATTTTAGCTATTCAACCTTATTACGAGTTCACATGCTAGTCACATTGCCACTTAATAAAATAAAATCATATAAAAAAATCATAATTACTAGCCCATTAAGCAAAGTACAACAGCAAATGTAAAGAACATATCAAGATAATTAATTGAGATAAATTTAGGGATGCTCTAGTCTCAAACCAAACTCTTCTAGTTGACAAGAATCTCTTCTCATTAATGAGAACTTTGGTAGCTTTATCATAGATTTCTGGCTGCTTTCAGTTCATGTTCTAGAATCCAAGTACTCTCTCACTAGTTGTCGATGTAGAACTAGTAGAGGAAAGAGACGGGATATAGAAATCTAGAGGGAAAATCAGAGATAGAATATAGAAATCTAGAGGAGATAAAATATAGAAATCTAGAAGGAAAATCAGAGATAGGCAGAAGCAATTAGGGAGGAACAGAATAAATCGGAGGAGAAATAGAAGAACTAGGGGGAGGAAATATGAAAGAATCAATAGAGGAAGAAAATCTCAATAATCAATACCTCAAAATCTCAAATATTTAAAACTAAATTATTGGGTCCAATCTTGCTAATCGGCCCATGTGCCTGTTGCTCTTGCCCTTCTGCTAAGATCAGTGACACCTCATCGTTAAGCACATCATTGATCGTGTTATGTCAAAATCTTGCAAATCTACAGATTTGCTAATTTTGATATCTTGATTCCAATTTTGAGGTCCATTTTGGAAGATTCATCCTCTAAAGGTCAAAATTTTCATGATTAGTTTATGAAAAATAAACAATTACTTTGGAGCAAATTCTGACTTTGGAAGATGATATTTATGAGGCTACTTTGCACTTACAAGAGTTGATTGCTTTAAGAGATAGCTATGGGTTTGAAAATCTTCATCCTCCATTGTTTCATGAGTAGTATCATTTCAAAGATTATATACTTCAGAGTGAGAAAACATTTGATAATTGGAGAAGTATAGTTTGTTTATTATGGATTGATGGAATTAAAAGAAATATTTGGAAAACTAAGTACTATATTGGGCAAAATTCATGCATTTCCTTGTGAAATCCACCTTCTCGGCATATTTCTCCTATGTTCTTGTGAAGACGGATCTAATTGATACTCATCAACCGCTTGAAGAGCTAGAAGTACAATCTAGTTTTGAAACTCAAGGTTCAATTTTCTAGGATTTAATTTTCTATTTACGGGTTTGAGTGTAATTTGTACATATATTTAGGCTATATTTAGGTTATTTTATATTAATTTAGAATCAGGGTCCTAAGGGTTATATTTGATATTGAGTATTGTGATTTTCTTCCTTTATTCTTTAATTAATAGATCACATGCTAGTCACACAACCACTTAAATAAAAAAAAATATTATTAACCTATTAATAAAACTTTGTAACAGAGAAAAAATCAAAATAACTAATTTAGATAAATTCAGAAATACTCTTGCAGCATCTATCCTATTGAAAAATAAAAGTCATTAGTTGTTATTGGATTAAGTTTTGTATGCATGGTTAACATTGCTAGAGCTGGTTTTTAAGAGCTATTTGTTCTCCTTAGGGCTTGAAACTTATGAAAATTTAGTAAAATTAAAAGGCTACACTATGAGATGCAATTGTTATGAGCCCATTATTTATTTTTTGTATTTATTTTTCTAATTCAAGGTTGGCAACAATCAAAATAAGGTTACATGACTTATTTCAATAAAGTTCATACATCAAAGACTTAAAGCATTCATAAATTACAGACACATGAACAAAGCAAATGAATTAATAACTTAGAGAAGCAACTTAGCTACACATTTCAAACTTACAATTTGGTCTAGGAGTTGATTCCACCACCAAGAATCTGGGAGAATTTTTTAATAATACCCAAAATGAACTTATCCTTCGTCATTTGGTTTCCTGCATTAGGATTTCCATTTTTCTTTTTTTAAAAAAGAAGAAATCTACTTTTGCTCTCTTGATCCTCTGTACCCCTTTTTTCTAGCAAATATGTTGGAAAATCATGTAATCAATACGCAATGGAAATTTAAAGCTTTTCCCAATGGCAAGATCAAGCTTTGATTTGTCTTAACATAGATAAGCTTAACTGCTAGGAAGAAGACAAGTATACCTTTAAAACCTAGTGTCGACATCAACAACGTGTCAAACATTGAATTCCGGAACATATAAACACCAAATCTAGGGTTTTAGTAAACCACAAGTTGTTAAAGTGTGCCCCCTCCAATTGTGATCCACACTAGTGAACAGTGAGAAATCTATAATAGAGGAGTGTTTGGTCGAATACTTTATTGCTAACTAGGATTTGTTTTTTCTTCAAAAGATATGTATAAGGGGGGACTAGACACTTATTTACATAAGGGAATTTTGCCAGTCCTAACCTTGTAACAATTTGCATAAGTTTTACACTATTTATAAAACTGCTCTAATTTAATTGAGTTCATTCAATTAAATTGTTGAAGTTTCAAACTTCTTACAATTAAGTCCAACTTAATTTCTCATTTTAATTTCTTGCATAGTCACTCTTAATGTGTGTGATTCATTAGGCTCTTAACATTGTGGCAATAAACATGAGTTATAATCCTAATTCAATTAGGATTAATAGATCAAACTTTATATAGTCATTATTAATTTCAAATTAAGTAATTCATATTTTTTTCCCTTAAATTAATTCATATTTAGAGATCAAGATTGACATCTGGTAATGTGTCATAACCTCTCAGATGTTAAGAAAAATAAAAATGGTTTGACTTGACCCTTTAGTGGACAATCTTACCTTGTAATTTAATTCTTTTATCAACTATTTTCTTGGTAAGACAGAGTGTGGTTCAATGTTTATTTTATATATATTTTAATCATGTTAGCTCTTGAAATTAGTTAGTCATTAACTTTTTAATGAAATTTCCAAGACTCCTTTCGAAATATTCAGTCAATCTTGCCCAAAGATTTCCTTGAGTTAATACATGTGAACAAGCAATGATATTCCCCTTAAAATCACTTAGGGTGATAAATCCTCTATGATCATTCATTTATCTCCATATGTTTCATACTATGCTCGATATTCATCCCATTGAACATCCTTGGCTAGGACAATGTAAGATAGTATCAAAGTATAATTTTTCACATACAAGATAGCCTAATGATTTCAAATCTAATGATAAGTTATATAACTGTCACATGAGAACATATTTTCATTAACGCATGAGTGACATATCAAATAAAATATTTGTGGTAGGTCATGCTTAGTGAATTTGTTTATGCAACAAGTAACTACTTGTTAGTTCAAGTATCTTTATGCATCAATTTATGAGAACAAATAATTACTTCATTAATAAGGAACAGAACATGATGGTTGCTGTATCTACTTGGGGCACTTCTATCATTAGAAGCAAGGTATTTTCTCAAGATTCTTTGCTATTGTAGAGTGGATCAAGCGTAAAAGAGACTCAAATTAGTATTGTGATAGTCTATCTTAGCTAGACATAAGACAACAACAAATAGGAAGGCAATCAGCTTTTCCTTTTTTGGCCAATACTACCATGTAGATATTGTCCTTTTGTCCCTTGATTTTACTTGGAATGACTGTTGGTTTGCATGAAGCATATGGGCGAGGATACTAAAGCAAAAGGTTCATATTGATCTGCAATCTGTATTTAGTAGTGGCTTTAAAGGGAACCTTCTGGAAACTTTCTTATGAGTAGTTTAAATTGAACATATAACAGATGTTATTTCAATCCAAATTGAATAGTTGAAGAGAGGTCCCATGGTCATGCCTTAGTTGCTGTCTCTTTTTCTCCTCTCAAAGATTATTGTTGGTGGGATTGGTGTAAGATTTACAGCCCTTTGTGGCCCTTAGGCTAAGGGGGTGTTCACAGTTGTGTTTGCAGTGATAAAAAGTGCATTTTGCTCATACGCAATGTCAAACTTATATTGGTTTGGCTCCAAAAGTGCTGTTTGATGGTACAAAATTAAAACTTCTAAAAATGGTATATGTGTGTGCATTTTTATAATTAAACTTCACAATAGTTTATTGGTAATCTTAACAGTAATTTAATTTTTGATATATTTTAACAATAATTTATAATTGTTTAAAATAAAAGAAAATGACTCATTTTTTACAATTTAACATCATGTTTTTGGTAGACATTTAAGATATTCACAACACTTTTACAACAATGATAAATACTCCAAAAGTCTCGAATTAGGTATAATGCGTGTTGCCTCGCCATATTAAAATATGCTTTTAGTTTTGCTGGTATGTTGGCCAGACCGTAATTATGAGTCAATCAAACTTTGGAGTTGATGAAAGTTGTTGTGACGTTGAATGTTTTTATCAGGTGGTTAATCTCAGTCAGGATAATCTGGAGGCTGATACTTCATCTTATCATTGCGAGTAAGTCCCTTGCTGTCATTAATTTACATCTACGTTTCACATACATTCATTTTTTTTTTTCTAAATTGGTTCCTTTTATGATCCAGTATTATACGACACATTCCTCTGGATTCAATTGATCCATCTTTGGCCATCGGATTTTTCTGCCGGGACAAAGGTTTGCCTGTTGATCTTCTTGGTATTTTACTATTTCGCTTGTACAGGTTTGGAGGCTATTCATTGATGATGAAATGAACTTTCCCTGTATTTTTGGCAGATGATTTTGACAATTTTTGTCTCCGGGCATCGAAACTGGCTGATGAATCAAATGGTGCTCCCTTATTCACTGTTGCTCAAAATCATAGTTCTTTTAAGCCCATTAGCCATGGCAATGCTTTGGATGACACTAGTGAAGTTCGAGAGGATGATTCCTTAGGTGTGGTGCCTGACATGGATGGCAGCATTCATGAGGATGACTGGCAGCTCCTTTGATGGGAACTTTCTATATCTTTCGTTGGATTGTTTACTCAACCCCTTGGTTCCTCCTGTTGGAAGAACCGTGGTTACAACTTGGGCGACTTTGTTTATTATTTATTATGTAGGAATATTATTATTATTATTTTTTTCACTAAATTTAATACTATTCGACGCTGTGAATATAATTGACTCCTGTCAATTTGTAAGATACGTGCAATAATCGTTCAATTTTACGTGGTAGGTAACCATCTGCCACTGATTCTTCTAGCACCTTGTTATTTTGTACTCTTTGCCTTAATTCAGAGAAGATTTTAATTAACATCATCCAAAATTTGATATATGTTTTAGTCACGGAAGTTACAGCCAAAAGCTGACGAACCAAAAACTAAAAATAGCTAAAATGTGGAAAGGTCAAGAGCTTGAAGGGGTAAAATAGGGAGTTTCTGTTCGTTCAAATTCATAAATTATTCAGTGTTTATAGAGCATAGCAAGCAATATTTTATGAAAATTTTAAATAAATTGCGTCATGGTCCGTTTGGATTTCTTGTTTGTTCGTCATGTACGTTTTTCATCAAGGACCAACTCCCAGCACCACGGAATGTTATGACCAGACAAAAAGAAGACCTAACATGTTTGAAAGGTCATCAGTTTGGGCTCAAATTCATATATGGAGTTTCCATAGTGTTTGAGCCCAGTTGGGGTTGAGCCCAATTTCAGCAAAGCCTTTGCCGTTGAACCTCCACTATTTATTTTTTGAATCTAGAGTTTTTTTATAGATTGTCTAAAATGCTTCAAAATTTTTGATTAAATAGGTTTCTTGAGTTTTCCAATAACATCATTTGCATTTTTTGGAATTGAAATAAATTTTTTTGGTGGAAAATTATACCAATTGTTTTAAAATGGTTCTCAAAATGCACTGGTTTAGTAAAAATATTTACTTTCATGATTTATAAGAAAATTTTACTTTTTTTTTAATAAAATTAAACTTTTGGGTGAACCTATTGGACATTTTCAACAATAATAAATATGGGACACAATCCCATATTAGAAAAGGAAAAGAACAAAATGTTTTCTAAATAAAGAGAAGAATAAGTCCTTAACATTTGGACTAAAGTGGGTGTGAAACCCCACTTTGTACTTAAGGTTAGATTTGTATTAATTTGATGTTTTTGAACATGACTTTTGGACCACAATAACTTAGTTTATGTTTTGATAGTCAAACATATTCATTTGAAAGTATGGGCTATTATAGGGTAAAAGAGGATTGTTTTAAGTTTTAAGATGCATTATGGACCAAATCTATCAATAGTTTAAATCCACAAAAGGGTTTTGATGAACATCTACTAATATATGTTCATCATCAATCAATAGATTCCAAATAGAGCCAAATTTACAATAGATTTGGAAATCTATTGATAGATCTGATGCAGACTTGAAAAAAATAAGGTTATTTTGGACTTTTCACATTTATTTAAAAGCCCCAACACCTCATACTTTTCCCCATTTGGGTAAAAACGTGTTTTCTAGCCAAACCCAACCACTGTCTTCTCTTTTTTCTCTCTACACTCATCCAAATTAAATCTAAAGATTTCAAGCATTTAAAAGTTACTTTCAAACTCAGATTTTGATTTTAAAGACTTTAAAAGGAAAGGTTTTCTCTTTCTAAACACCTAAGCTCATGGTTTTGATTTTCTGCACTTATGGATTCTAAGAATTTCATTTTGCTCATGAAAACTTACAAATTTTTTATTGGTTTTGGAACTTTCAAGCTCTCCAAGGTAAAATTGCTTTTAACTCTAGCTGGTAGTATAATTTTTTATTTAGAGTTAGATTTAGTTGTTGAGTTTGGATTAAGAGGTTAATGAAGAATATTTTGTGGAAGGATAAATGATTATTAAACTAAGATATTGTTAGAGAAAAAGGTATTTATGATGGAAACTTTGTGATAGGAGCTATTGATAAATGAAGCTATTCTTTCTAAGTAAAGAGTTGATTAAAACAATTTGAAAATGGAAGTTTAAAGCTTGTTGGAGGAATGATTTAGGTGCTAAGAGTAAGAAGCAAATAAAAAAAAATTAGACAAAACACAATGATTTATAGTAGTTTAGTCCCCTTGACCTACATCCACTACCTTGATCTCCCAATCAAGGATTTTCAAACAATTCACTAAAACGAGGTGGGTAGATACGGTATTTATAATTATTTTGATATAATTAAGAATGCCTATTCTACAACCTTGCATTAAAATGAGTTTCAATGAATTTGTGATATGAATAATGGTTTTAAAGTATGTTTTGATGACAGCTACATATGTTATGTAAATATGATAGTTATGATAGTTATGTTTTAATTTTAAATCTTAAATATGATAGTTATGTAAACAAGCCTTTCAAATGTTTGATACCTCAAAATTTGATTTTTGTCTTTGATTTGTTTGGATGGTTGATGATTTGAAAATTTTAGATGAAAAATGATTAGTTTGTATAGACCCTACCATTGGGTCAATTTGTTTTTAAGATAATGGAATGATAGATGATTAGACTTTGTTTTGTTTTGATCCTTGGTTTTGTTTAATCTCTAAATTTGTTGGTGACTGGATTTACCCTTTGATTGGAAATGGACTTTTGGATACTATGATTTAGTTTTGTTTCAAACCCTTTGATTTTGGTTGGTGAATTATTTCACCGCCTTTCGTTTGGAAATGAACATTTGGATATTTGAAAATTGTGAATTGTTTTAGTGGAGCCTATTTGAGTCGAAAACCTATAGCTAATGGCAATAGCCATTGGACATTGTGCACAATGCTTAGTTTTGTTTTGGTTGGTAGTGTATGTGATCCTACCCCCTTTTTTTTATACGGTTGGTGACTATATCTATCGGAACACTTTGGTGGACAACACACTTTGTTTTGATTGTCCTTTCTATCTAGCACTCGACGATCTATTTGAAATGATATTTGACTTGCTTTGGTTTGGACTTTTTGATATTTGTTTCAACTTTGATGAATGAACCTTGAGTATTTGATTTTGAATAGATGTTAGTTTCATTTGGGGTCCTAGAAGTGTGTTTTAGGCTGGAAAATTTGATTTTGGAATAAATCTACCAATTCATTTGAAAATGTATCAATAGATTCTTTTATAAACCTTAGTTTTGTATTCTATTTGAAATCTATTGATACAGCTAAGAAATGTATCAATAAATCAAACAATCTATCGATACATCTAAGCAATGTATTGATAAATCAAGCTTATTTTTGAAACAAAATGGTTTTCACAAGATTTTCTAAAATGTAATGAATTTGTATTAGAACTAAACCTTGGACACCTTGTTTTCCACTTCAAATACTTCTAAATCGATTTTAAATGCTTTTTCATTTGAAATACTTGATTGGTTTATAAATGTTTAATTTCATTCAAGACTGACAAACAGTTTTACAAACTCTATTTTATTTGAAACACTTTGAGTCCAAAATTGTTTTGAGGCTTACTTGGGTCAAGTGGGTTATTCCCAATGATGACCTTACACTGGTCATGGGCCTCGGGTTTGGGTCATGATAAGGGCTTAAGTGCAAAATGGACATGGTTAGGCTTTCCAAAGCCTTGGTTGATCTTGAAATTAATTAAATTATTGACGGTCAAATTAGGCAATCAGTTCTTATCGTACAATAATTTGTAAAAAATTGAGTCATTGACTTTCAAAAATTGACAATGTTAGTATAATCATTAATGGTGTTAAAATTTTTCCATTGTCTTTGTTGACATGGTATTTGAATGTATTGATGTGGCATATTCTTGTCAATGTGGCATTGAATCTATTGACATGGCATCCAAGAATCATTGGTATTGATCCATAACCACCTAAACTCGAGGCCATTACCTGTGTGAGGATCCAATAGGTGAAGCCCATGAGACCCAAGCAAGCCTTGAAAACAAATAAGTAGATAAGCTAATGTGTAGCTACTCAGACTAGTATTAGTGCAACAGACTTCATTTATATAT